GCTCTATGCTGGATACCTTGTGTTCCAGATTTCACAGCTCCACCGATGAAAAGGAAAACAGCCCAGGGTGAAACCTGCTACAGTGTCACTCTTGCTTAATTTAGAGGATTCAATAGGTGAGAGTCTGGACCTGGAGCTAAGACTCGGGATGATGTAACAGAGTGAATGTGTTCTGCCTGTGGCAAGGACATGGATTTGGAGGAGGCCAAAGGGTGGAATGAGGGGCATTATTGCTGATGTCACATGGATCTTGGCTGAAAGCAGAGAATACCAGAAAGGTGTTTGCCTGTGTTGTATTGACTAGGCAGAGGCATCTGACTGTGTGGATCATACAAATGATCACTGCAAAGAATGGGAATTCCAGAACACTTAATTTCTCTCATAAGGAACCTGTACATAGACCAAGAGGTAGTTATTCAGACAGAACGAGGGAATACTGCATGGTTTAAAATCAGGAAGGGGCAGGGTTGTTGTATCCTTTCACTGTACTTACAAAAATTTAACAAGCAAGCGAGGAAAGGGGAAAGCGGGGGAGAGACACCATGTCACATGAAGGTGGCCCGGGAGAAGAAGCTCAGAAGAGACTGGGCCTTCCCTGGAGCCCACAGAGAGAGACAGCCAGCCCCCGAATGTGGACTTCCAGCCTCCTAAAAGGCAAGAAACTAAATTTCTGTTTGTTAAAGCCGCCCCCCCCCGTGGTCTTTCTGTTACAGCAGCACGAGAGGACTGAGACGCACCCAGCGCCAGCGCACACCCAGCGGTGCCTGTCCTGAGGGGTCCTGTCTGCTGGCCCTGGCTCTGGCGCTGGCGTTGCAGCCGGCTCGCCCCCATGCACTCAGGCCAGTCCCGAGTCCCAGCACTGCCCGACTCCGCAGACATCATGCCCCTTCCCAACCACGCTCCCCTGCTCTCTGCACCTCCCCTTCTGTGGCCCTCAAAGCCCCCTCTGTTAAGTCATCAGGGACCCCTGCTTCCAGGCAGGCCTCCCAGACCGCGCCCTTCTCAAGCCTGAGGTGCCTGAGGTCCCCTCCCTGACACCCGCTCCTTCAGAAGCAATGCTGCTCACGTGATGCCTCTCTGGCTGCCTGGGCCTGGGCCCCCCCTGAGCCTTCAGCCCTCACCCTTCCTGAGCTCTCCAGCTGCCCCTCGGCCTAACGGGCCCCCACCCAGTGCCGAGCAGGGGCCCAGCCCAGAGCCAGTGCTCAGTGTCTGATGATGGAGGAGTGGACGCCACCTCCACGAAGCTGCCCTTGTTACTGGCTGCCGAGCTTGGCCACTCCTCCCGGCCCAGTCCCCCCTGCCCTGCTGCCATAGGAAGGCCCTGGTTATCCATTGTTGGTATCTGCCACCTGGAGCCCAGGGACTATGTGTGTCTGCACCCACAGGGCCTAGGCCCCAGGTCAGGGGTGGCTTCCAGTAGTTGCTCAGTCAGA